GCATACTTGCTGTGTTTGCCATTTCTGAAAATAGAAGAAGTACAAAGGTTAAAGAAACACCATGAACACATCAGTCTGACTCAGGTTCATCAACTCAGTACTCAGGTTGCTCTCACTCGGGTTGAAGTTTCCAGCACTGTGTATAAAAATGTTCTGATGCTGTATTGTCTCTCAGGTCTCCTCTGCGCGTCCTCCTTCTGTCATCCACCCTCTTCTTGCTTCTTCCTCCGTCTCCTCCTCAGTGCCCCTCCTGAACTGATGCACTCTCTCCTCCTGGTCTCTCTCTATTTATACTGCAGCAGCACGTTCCCCCCAACCCCCCCCCCTTTTTTTTATCAGAACAACTCACTTTCTACTTTCTTTGTTGCCATGTGTCCACAAACCTCCCACTCATTAATTACCAGCAGATGTTTACGGCACATATACACCACACACACATTATATGCACACACAACAAGCACATTTGTTGCAGTGTTTGTCATTCCCCCTTGCACTGCTTTGCAGACAGTGCCCCAGAGTATACAGTGTGCACTCTTTCAGATAACATTTGTTTCACGGGGTGCCATTTGACTCTATCTGTAGATCATGCTGATGACACCCTATATAGGACAACCAGGCTCTGGCCTATTGTCTAACATACGAGCAGCTACATGCGTGTGCATGAGCAAAAACATAAACCTTTGACCCCGCTGCTAAAGAAGTAATATGAAAGGACAGGTTTGTTTCTTTATAGTTAAGGACTGATATTATATTTTAGCCTTCAAACAGAGATCTTGGCTGATTGTCTTTTGCTTACAAATGACTAATTTTAAAAGTCACTGAAGCATGTCACTTGCTTTATTCAATTTCATGTCCTTTAATTAATGAATCATCATGGGAACAACATTAGTCCAAATAGGATTTCAAATGATTCAGTGAACTTTATCTAATTTTTCTTATAAAAGTCTCTTCGCGTGTGGCGTGCGTCATTGTGGGGTTTATTTTAGGAACACAAGAGACGACGCAACATCTAACAATATCTGAAGGCCGCCTGATTAAATTTGAGCTCATTATGTTTTTTCTTCTTTGTTGTGGGTTGTGTTTGAAGAAGCCACCTTGAATCCTGTGATAGCATAAGCTCATATGCGCACACACACACAGACACACACACACACTCACACACACTCACACACACACACACACGCACACACACACACACACACGCACACACATGCGCACGCACACACACACACACACTGCGATTTTTTTTAACCCTCATTCATCTGATCGGCCATTGGCTAGTCATATTTGATTTGAAGCATAGGAACAGTGTACGTGTGTGAGTGAGTGTTAGGGCTATATAAGAACCAATCTGTCTTGATGTCAGAAAAGTTTTGTTCAAAAAAACAAACAGTTAGAGTCAATGTAATCCATTGTAATACACTTACACATACTTAAATAAAAGTAAACAGAGGTGTTAGCTCTGTTTGTCATAGAGAAAATCATTTTATTAAACCTGTCCCAGGAATGCACCCACAGCAAAGTACTGCTATGCTGAGTTAATGGGAATTCTCACATTGGAAAAACTGACATTTAGCTTACATGACTTTATTGAGGGATTGGTGACAGTTGATCCCAGTGGACTGGAATCTTTGTGCACTGTCTCATCATAGACTTATCATACAACAACTTTTCTGCTGGTCGTCGAGGGCTCTGCTTTATTGTGTTTGTCAGTTTGTTAAGTTTACCTTTAAAAAGATTGAAGGGAGCAATAATCACAAAGTACGGTATGATTCGTTCATAGGGAGCACGTCCATTATCTAATTGAAAACCTGCAAAATGTAAAAAGAAATTAAAAAAGAAAGAATGAAAATAGGAGATAACCATCTTTCCTACCGGCTCCACCAGTTTTGCATTTGACACATTCCTTCCAGCGTATTCATATAAGATATTGCATAATGAAATGTCCTTTGAGGAATGCAGTGGGTGGACTCTTTGTTGAAGTCAAATTGCATGATAATACTATGTACAACGACAATAAAGGCTATTCTATTCTATTTTATGGGAAAAGATATTTAATAGTCAGACATTAAATAAAATAAAATTTCGCATTTTGCATTCCTACCAGAAAAAAATGGGAAAAGAAAATCTCCAGGAGAGCAGATGGGGAACCTACGGAAGCGTAGAGCTGCCACCCAGGCAAAAGAAAAATACAAGTGTATCACGTTATAACGTGAAAGGTTTATTGTTCTAACAAGATACTTTTCCTGTTTGTACAATATAATATTTATATTGTACGAACGTGATAATTATGTATATTGTAATACGGCGATATTATGTTGTTCAAACGTGAAAAGTATATTGTACAAACAGGAAAAGTATCTTGTTAGAACAATAAACCTTTCACGTTATAACGTGATACACTTGTATTTTTCTTTTGCCTGGGTGGCAGCTCTACGCTTCCGTAGGAACCAGAATATTACCTAAAGTCCTTATATTTTGTTTAATTTTTTTTTAATTGTTGAAATGTAAAAAAATAAATAAATAAATGATTGGAAGAATAAAGAGGAGGAAGTGAAAGACCTGACTTCTTCACTGGTAAGACAAACACTGACAGCAACGCCTATTTGCTCATGAAGCAGGATGTTTCCATGCAGTCAGATCCTCGTTTAAAGAGAAAACAAAAAAAACAAAATCAAACAATGCACGTCTTTACTGTGTCAGCTGTTTGTAACAAGATTGTAATTGTGTACTTGTGTACATGCCTGCGTGTGTTTGAGAGAAAGAGTGGACAGACAGCTGAAGCCGATATTTACTCATTTTTTTTATTTGCGTCATTCAGAGTATAAAGAGATCATTCTCAAGCTTAATCATTTACGTATATATTTTAAAAATTTGCTATTTAAGAATTGCAATCATGTACTTGTAAAGATTTCCATTGGCGCCATATTTATTTTGCAGAACGTCTCACGTCACACAGGCCTTTTTTCAGGGATGAAGCAAGGTCAGAAGTCAGTGCCGGACTCTGTAGGAATATGTCTGATATTTAGTTGACATTATAAAGCACAAGAACAACCGAATATCAAACATATCACACAGCTTCTGGCAAACCAGGAAGAATCCTGCAGGCTGGAAAAACCTGTTGCACAAAAGAAACATGAGGCAGTGAGGTAAAAAAAAAAAATTAGGAAGTGACAAACATCGCATAATCAGTCAGACTGTTGAGCTGAATTTAACTAATACTGACTTGAACAACCTTCTCCAGAAAGAAAAAGACAGACCAGAGGCCCAGAGGGCGAGGGAGCCAGAGATCGTGTTGGCATTTGAGATCAGCGTCTCTGTTAGCTTCAGGAAATACAGTTAGTGCAAAGGCAAGAGAAGAGGAATGATCTACATAAAGAAACACTCTTGATAGCAATGAAACAAACAAAAATAAAGATACTCACTCATTCTCTCTATACGCAGGTGGAGTCCCAGCATCCCATCAGCAGGTCCTTCGCAAAACTGGCATGCTGATTAATAAAAAGTAGAAAAATAACAAAAATGTTGTCGAATGTGTGCGAGTCTGTGAGCCTGTCCCCAGTGGGACAGCATTTATATATATGCAGTCCCTTGATTTTTTTTGGGGGG